CACTTATACAAGCGTATCTATTAAGCTTTTTCATCCTGCAGAACCTGCTGTTCCTTTACTTCTGGAGTTTCTCTTTTCAGAAACTTCAAGAAGCTCAACAGCGTCCGTCAACGTACACATTGAATGAAGAACCACGCCCTCGACCACCTCCGCTAATCGGTGCCGGATCAGTCCAAGTCCCTCCTCCACCATCTTTAAACCGCAGTGCAACATCAGAATCTCTTGCCCCCAAGCCTAAGACACCCCAACGACTCGGTGCAGCCACTCCGCTTGTCAAGCAAATGCTTCAGTCTGTGGCTGCATCATATCGTCAGTTCTCGGCTGCAACTTCGCTACAGAATGCGGTTGTTCAGCAGTCTCTACGGAACGCTACGTCACTGTTTTCTTCTCAAACACCGGTCATGCTCAATTCAGTTCCAACAATGTCGCCATTTGGTACTGTACCCTTTGGACTGACCGGCTCGTACACATCACCAGCACAAACTTCACTTGGAGCCCTCACTTTCACACCCTCACTTTTCCAGATTACACCTCAGTATATAACCAGTACGCAGGGTACATCACTTACCCCCTCTCTGCTGCAGCTTGGGGGTCTGGCCCAGACACCGTCAACAGTTCACGGCCCCCAACCTCTCTTTCCAAAATTGAACAGGACGGAACAAAGGCAGAAATCGCCTTCTCCATCAACCTCAACGGGTCGAAGAGGACCGGGTGGCAAGCAACCGCCTTCAAAGCGAGCAATGAAACGTCGAAGAGAGCCTTTTACTGGTTCTAGGCAAAGTAATCAACCCCCACCCGTTGCTGGTTCTGGGCAACGAGACCAGTCTCAACCTCGGCGGATCAAAAAAGAAGCAGCTGTTGTCTAAAAGGAATGATTCACGAGTAGACAAGCCTCCCTGCCAACGCAGACCTCAGGATCGACCGGCACGTTCTAAACCAGGTGTCTCGGCAAACTTCAGGAAGGAGCGCTCTTCAAGAAAGTAATACAGTACGCCATTAAACGGGAGCATGTCGGTGGTATAATATTGTTCGCTGTGGGCGCTGGCACGCGTACGGGTATAGTTTGGCGTGGTACCAGTTTTTCACCAATTATTGTCGCTTGCTAGTGTCAGTGAACAGGTTGGCGCCGTGCCAAACCCAGCCTACCCGGCACGCCCTAGCATCCTCAGCGAACAAGAATATACCCACTGTGCGGATGTGCCAGCTGGAGCAAGCCATCCAGTTTACGTACGAGGAAGGAATATTCATTTCGAATAGGGTTTAGTGGAAAGTGAACCGCGACCACTCTTCACCGTGAATCACCAAGAACGTGCTGTGCTGCCAGCCCTCTATCGCCGTGCATGACAAGCGGTGAAATCGCGCTGCAAGTGTACTATGAACACAGATCTCGGCTAAAGCGTGTATAAAAATTTAAATCTTATACAAAATTATGCAGTCAAATTGTATGTTGGTTGATGTTTTATTCGGGTCACGATTAAAGAGTGAAGCAATGTTATCTGTGTCAGTTTCCGTAGTATATGGTAACCGTAACCCGCTTATCGATAAATGGAAGAATTTTACCAGGAAAGTCCGCCAAACTTACCATGGAACTTTGAATGGAGACCTGGGTAGATCGATAGAGTCTATAAGGTTATTTACAAATATAGATAGCAAAACTGCAACCTGCATTTCACAAGCAACTTGAGCAGGTAAAGTTTGTAATGGTGCAGTAGGGTGGAGGCTTGGTGGTGAGCTGTGAAGCATAAGCGAGGAATCGCATACGTCGAATTGAGTCGTGGTGGTTCAGTGGGAAGGTTGGTCGTCGACGACTCGATTCGAAATG